TTCATATTCTCATATTTGAATGTGTTTAAATAATATATTTTTATTTAAATTTTGTCTAATATACTATATAAAAAGTATTAAAAAAATCTTAGTATAATTAAAAAGAAAATAAAATTAATAAAGACACAAAATCATATTTTTTAAACTAATATTTGGTTATTTAAATATATTAAAGATTTAATTACAAAAAATATTAAACAATAAATTAAAATAAACTATAACAAAATTTATTAATAGCCAACTATTTATAATTATATAATGAAAAAAGACAATAACAAATATTATAACAATTACTTTCATAAAAAAATTATCAAGTCATGATATGCTTAAGAATTGGCTGGAATATTACTACTCTGGTGAGTGGTGACAATTCTCCTGAATTCTAAGAACTTTGGAGAGTGCATGATTATTCTATGAGTAAACTATTTTTTCTCAAATAACTATAATTTACCATTTAAATTATAGTTTCACAATTTATTTAGTAAACGAAATAGTATAATTATAGTTTATTATAGTATATAAATAGTAATGGAAAATGTAAAATGGACATTTCTCAATAAACTTTGACAATTTTTAAATTCAACAAAGCATGAGTAAGTGTAACATATTTACTACATTTCTTTGCTTGTATTTTATAGACCTCTCATCGGTTTTAAAGTTCAAATCAATCTTCCAAATACCTTTTAGACAATAATTCAACATGAAGAATGAACGTTATTGCAGTTTCTAATTACATCCATCTGTTGAGTGGTTTATTTGGTTGAAAGAACCAATTGAAAAAAATGACACAGTTCGGAAAATATTTGTAGCCTCCATCAACAAAAAACAACGCTCATTCATCAACACATTTTTGATTCAGGTAAGTTTTAAATACAACACCGTCACATGTAGCAACTGGAATTTCAATCACAATACTAACAGCAAGTCCAAAAATACTTACAAATTTTGTTTTCAACCCTGAGTGGTTGGACTTGTACGAATAAAACAATTTTTGCAATTCAACAACAATTTTTCTGTTAACTAATTGGTCTTTTCCATCAACAACATAAAACACTTTTTCTAATTTTAGAATAAAGTGAAAAATAGATTTCTATTGGTTGAGAAGTTTTGTGTTGTAGTCTGACATTGTTTAATTGAATCAATAAACAGGCAACACAATTCTTAATAAAATAGGTCCAATACCATTTTAATCTAACCAGTAACGTTAGTTTCTCCTTTATGTTTCTTTTTCATTTCAAAGTTTGGTGTGTCTATTGGTTCAGAATAAGAAATGTGCACAATATTGAGATTGTCAAAAATTGCAATGAAGTATAATCACAGTTGATTTGAGTGATTAGTAGCAACAACAAATCACAGTATGACATCTGAAATTTTCCATTGAACTCGTCAACTGCTAGATTGGGATTAGTACCAACAAAAAAAGAACCAAGTTATCCAATGTTTATTTGTTGATTGTTTACAAAGAAGCACGCCTTTCTGTATCGAACCAATTCGAGCAATTCGTCAGATTCTCTTTTTGAAAATCCAGTCATAATGAGAAATCTTGTGTTGTTGGTTAAGTTTATTTCACATAGTGTTTGTTTTTATTCTATTGGTATGAGAGTTGTTGGTGTTTGAATTGCAGTAAAGTCAAATTGAACACTTTCCATTTTAAAAGAACTTGTGATGTAGATTTTTGGGTATAAGTGTTTGTTGTCACTATTTTAACAGTTTCTTGTCTCAAAGTTTTTGATGCAACAGTTTGCGTCCGCGTTTCATTTCTTGACTGACATTAAAGTGGTTGATCTCGCTGTGTAGTGGTTGACTTTTTGACAGCTTCTTATGTGTTTGGTATTTTGTGATGGTTTTGGTGGATTTCTAATGGTTTCATATTTTGTGTATTCATTTACGTTCTCTTTGTTTTGAACGAGCATTGTTGATCCAATGGAGTTAGACAGGGGTCTAATAAAAAATGAGTTTAATTATGCTTGTTTTTTGTTCTTTGATGTGCAGAGCTTTGTTCGATAATGATTTTATCTAATTATATTCAATGATTAGATAAACAATTCTTTAAACAAAATAATTGTACTATTATTTTAGTTTGAGTCTTTGGTTTTTAAATTGTTGTGTGTGTTTGGCTATTCAAAAGTTTATATTATTTAAAACTATTAAAAAATAAAAAAAACATTGAAATAATAAAATAATAAAATTAAAGTATTTCATATTAAACACTTAACTCACTTATATCTTACATAATACATTTTTATAAACCGAGTGACAATACTGTAAATGTAGAACAATTTTTTTATCTAATTAATGAGTGTATTTTAACAATGTATTCAAATAGTGTTGTTATTATAACTCGTGTTTTCATA